GGAATTTGTGAAAAAAAAAAAGGTGGAAAACGTTAAGGAGATTCAGTAATCTGATAGTTGTGGAGACTAAGAAAAGAGAGTAAAAAACGACCTCTGGGTTTCTGACACTTGGATAGTGGTACAGATCCATAACCCATTCTCCAAAATCCCTGGAGACAAATGTGTTTCAAAATTCAGGATATTTTGGATGTTAGAAAGGTGACATGGTTTACATACCCAATATAACAGTGCACCCTCAGCAGGGCCTGGGACAGTACCATGTAATCAAACACAGTACTATTTCTGCAGCAAGACACATCCCACCAAGTGGGATAGATGATAAAAAGCTTCCTGATAATTCACTCAGGTTTTGCAGTAAATGGGTTCAAGTTTTGCTGACAAATGAGTTACCAAAAAAAAATTTTTGGTTTTCAGAGATTTTTTTGGTTTTGGAATTGTGGCTAAGAAATGGTAAATGTACTAATGTTTTAAATAGAATACAGGAAGTGAAACATGCTCTGTTTTGTTTTGATGGCATGAAGGTTCTGGTTTACACACATACAATCTCAGGTAATTATGACATCTGAAAGATGTCCAGCAGGCAGCAAGATAGATGAGCAAACTAGTTTGGACAGTTTGAAACCAAAACAATTATAGGGAAAAGGTGTACTCAGGTAAATACTTTCTATTTAGTGCCAAAAATATAAGGCCAACTCAGAGAATGACTCAAAGAGATTTCATCTAATTGTCAATAGTCGCTGATGATCTAGAATTCAGAATCCTACTTGTCTTTGCTTTGCCATAAGTAAATGCACTGTGGTCTCTTGCCATAGCTGCCATTGATTTGAATTCAATGTTGCTATTGGCAGTACATTAATTGTGTTAAAATTACCCAAATTATATAAAACCAATTATTCTGATACTAACTATATGCGTAATTAGATAGGTGATTGAAAATAATTCATTCTCAATCAGATTTTATAACAATAAAAGATCCTGTTATACCAAATGTATTTTTACACTTTATGGACCAGAGAACTGAATGTGTCTGAAGACAACTTGGGCGTTGATCATTTCCAAAATATTAAATACATTAATTTTTTTTTTTTTTTTTTTGGAGAAAAATTCTCTCCACCAGGAATGTGAAGGCAGGTTAAAATTAAAAGCTTCTGGGGCCGGCCCCATGGCTTAGCAGTTAGGTGAACGCGCTCCGCTGCTGGCGGCCCTGGTTCGGATCCCAGGCGTGAACCGAGGCACCGCTTCTCCGGCCATGCTGAGGCCGTGTCCCACATACAGCAACTAGAAGGATGTGCAGCTATGACATACAACTATCTACTGGGGCTTTGGGGGAAAAAAATAAATAAATAAAATTTAAAAAAAAAAAAAAGCTTCTATGGAAGGTTTAATCAGCCAGTCAGAGCTTCCAAACCTATATCCCTACAGGTCATTAGGGTTCTAATCTAATCTCTCAATCTCCCAATCTAGTCTTTTTTGGGGGAAAGGAGTATGATTCACACAATTAATCTCTTATATCTGTTTCATAGTAAAAAAATAAAATATAAAATATTAACAGACTACAGCAGCCGGCCCCCTGGCTTAGCGGTTAAGTGCGCCCGCTCCGCTACTGGTGGCCCGGGTTCAGATCCCAGGCGTACACCAACGCATCGCTTGTCGGGCCATGCTGGACGGCATCCCACATACAGCAACTAGAAGGACGTGCAACTATGATATACAACTATCTACTGTGGCTTTGGGGAGAAAAAGAGAAAAAAGAGGAGGAGGACGGGCAATAGATGTTAGCTCAGGGCCGGTCTTCCTCAGCAAAAAGAGGATTGGCATGGATGTTAGCTCAGGGCTGATCTTCCTCAAAAAGAAAAAATATTAACAGACTACAAACCAAACAATCAACTGGCCTATATTTACTCTAATCATTTTTTTCAGACTCCACCCAGCACTCTCACTCAGCCATAAACTTTAGAATTTAGAATATAGCTAAACAGAATTATTTTTCTCTCTCAAACTTTCACTTGATAATTATTACCATTAAAATCCCCTCAGAAAAAACTTTCCAGTCTTCCCGGTCTTCAAACATACTTCAATATGCTCAGAACCCATTTAAAACACAATAATGTACAATGAGATTTTGTGCAGTTCCTAATGTTTGAAGGATTTAGTCTAGCACCAGGTCCTAAAGTCTCAGGCCCTCCAATAAATGTTTAATAAGGATTACAGTATAATTTTATATATTAAAAAATGTACAGTTTGATTTTCTTTCTTAGGAGTGCCTGTGTGTGTCTGTGTATGACACAGTAAACTGGTAGAAAAATCAGCCTTAAAAATGTAAATTCAATAGGATACTGCTATTTTCACTTGCAGGTTCCAGCTCATTTGGTCATAAAATCAATCCAGTGTGTCGAGACCAATATTTTTTTAAATAAAATAATAGAGAACGTCCACATTGTAAGGTTAAATATTGTTTTGTGAACCTTGTTTCATGTATACACACACACACACTAGAATGTACTGCGTTGAGGCATAGAATGCATTTCTTACTGAGGATTGCAGTCCAAAAAAAGTTTAAAAAACACTGATGTTGAAGAAGTATGCTTGCCAACCAAAAATCTAGAGTGTTGCAAATGGAGGGATGACTCTGGGTTGCTGCCTCATAAAATATATTTTAAGCCAATACAATAAAAGATCAGAAAACTAAATTATGTTGTCCATGTTGACTCAAAAAATTAACTGTGGCTCTGAAATACCAAGAAAGGATTAAAAATTCTCAGTCCACATGGCATCTTCAGTACTCATGTGATCCACAGTGAGAGGAAAAGCATGATGGGCTCACTCAGTCTCCCTTGGGTCAGGCATCATCTGGACAAGTAGAAATAAGGGTAAATCAGAGCTGGACAAAGAACAATTGACTATTTTGTAATTACAAAGGCCTTACAAACTCTATGAAAGACAAAAAGATAAACATCTTATGATGAGAATGTAGGTGGTGAAAAGTAAAGATAACATGAGCCTTGAGTCAAGCACTGGAATAATAATACCATGTCTACCACTAACTTGCTGGGTGTAATCTCTCAGCTTTGGTTTATCACAAACTTGATGGATTGACTGGCTATCCAAACTGAGAAGGGGAGCCTGAGAATGCTAGGGCTAGAGAAGACTCCTGATGTAAGCTCTCATTATCTTAATCCAGGGAAGTACTGTTTTTGCTGTTTTACAGGAAACTTTAACTGAGGCACACTGTTACTCTATCTAATGCAAACATGTTACATTTCTCCCTCGAGTTAAGAGTCAAGATAGTCTAATAACAACTGGCCCAATAATCAATGAAGATTTAATTAATACTCTAAACTCAGGGAGCAACGCCTACATCTACTTTTTAAATAGTATTTAGCATATTTATTTCTCTATATGGAGACACGATTAATAGGGCAGGTGAGGCTCTTTTAAGAAAAGCAGAAATCACTGATTAAAGAAGAAAGCATTAATAATTATGTCCTGTTATGCTGTGGTTGATTTTTTAGCTTTAATTGCACTTTTTTTTTAACTATATGTGTTGCCTAAGGCATTTTATGTTAAGTGTGCAATTTAAAATATATTTTTAAAAGAACTAAACAAATCTAGGCAGCGGAATTGCCATTATTAGAAATTTCTATGTAAAAATGCTAGTTAAAGGACTAGAAAAAGAAAGATGATTGGTACAAATAAATCGTTCAGAATGTTTAAACTACTATGTATGCTAAACTTCAGATATTAAAAGTCAAATTTAAAGAAATCTAATTGTATGGTATGTACGGTATGACTTTAACCTCACATATTTTAGTCACAAACTCAAAGAAAAATTTATACAGTAAAGGAAGCAACAGACTTTCCCACAACCAAAAATTCTCAAATTAAAATGCAGCAACTTTCTGATTTTTAACGACAGAATTTGAGTCTAAATGTCACTATGTAGTATAACTTCTATAGCAAATTATGGTAGCTTAATAACATTTTATAAAAATTAGAAAAATTGATAACTCCATGGGGTTCTAAAAACAGAAATAGTTGTTTGATGGGTTTGAAGAGAAGTAGTTTGATGAGTTTTGAGAGGGAAGGAAATAAAAGTCCAAGGTAAGCACCAGTTTCGCCCTCAATTCTTAGGCTTCAGAAGGGCTTAATTAGGCAAGGAAAGGAATTTGGGCCTGGCACACCCAGGTTCAGACGTGGCAGGATCCTGAAACAAAGATTTTTTGAACCCTTGAGTCATATGCCACAGGCAAACCATAGCCGCGATATACAGGTCGTTAAGTCAACAGGTCCTCTAACGAGAAGGTGTGCGGTTGGTGAGTGGCAGTTGGATTTCCTCCTGCCACGAAAAAAATAACTCTTTTCGATTAAACCGGAAAGTGGGCGCAGCTCTGGCTTAGGGAGCGCCCCCGGAAAAGTGGAGAGACGAAAGAGAGAGAGAGAGAAAGAGGGATGTGCGCGTCCCGACCACAGAGCGCTTTCCAAACCGCTCGGAAACCATTTAAATGGCTCGGGCGGCCGCAGTTTCCAGCCCAGGACTGTCTGGGGTCCGGCTGGGAAAGTTGCCCGGCAAAGCCACGCCCTGTCCCGTGGCGGGCTGGGCCCTCGGGCACAGGGACGGGAGGACACCGGCAACCTGTTAGCCCCAGTGGCATCGCGGCCGCCTCGCGCCCGGCCCAGCCCCCTCCGACTCCCCCCTGTGCAACCCGCCCAGGGACACGCTCGGGGCCACCAGGACTTCAGCCCGGTCCTCCTCTTCTGGAGCCTCCCTACAGAGACTGACAGGGGCCAGCGCGGGCGACAGGGCTCCCCTGGGGCTCCCCCTGCCCCGGCCTCGGGCGCCCCCTTCGGCCTCTCCCGAGGGGCAACCGAAACACTGCCCTCGAGACCATCTAACCAGCCACCCGGCCCGTACCCCTCTCGCCACCACGTGAACCTCCGCGTCCGTCCCGCCACCCCCTCTGACGCTGCCCAGGGGCTGCCGGCCGCCGCCCCCGGCTTACCTGGCGGGTGGGCAAGGCGGGACGGCGGGAAGCCGCGGCCGGGCGGCGCTGGACGTGGGCCGGGCGCCAGGTGCAGGTGGCGGCGGCGGCGGCCCCGGTTGCTGTCGCTACAGTTGCCGCTCAGTCCAGCTCCTCCTCCGCCACCGCCTCCTGCCTTCCCGCTGGGCTTCCTGCGTTGCCAGGAGAGGCCGAACCGAGGCTCCGCTTCCTCCCGGAGTCTCCCAGGTGAGCTCCAGCCTGCGACGTCGGCAGGGGCGAGGCCCCCGTCCCGCGCCTGCGCGCCAGCCGCCTGCCCCGCCCAAGCCCTACCTGAGCGCTCCAGGTGAGGACCGAGGACCGCGCGCGGGCGGGGGCGCCGTCCGGGCCCAGCGCGGCCGCCGCGCCGCTTCTCTCTCCGCGGTCGGCGAGGCTGGTTCTCCGCGCGAGGCGTGCCTCAGCCCGTCTACATTTGACGAGTCCTGCACTGACCTGGTGGCAGTCGTCACCTTGGAACCGGAACACAATCTGGGTCTTTGGGGAACCAGAAGGTCTAGACTTCCCTCCCACACTTCCCTTACTCTCCGGTTCGCCAAAACGAAGGGGTGCGTTGCCCGGAGACTGGGGGGCCCAGTGCCTCCGAGGACCACCTCATGACGCCTGCAACTGTTGGCGCGTACAGTTTCCTCGAGCAGGGTTCAGCAGCTTCTGTCACCGGTTGGGTTCGTGAGCAATTGGGCGAGCTTCCTTCCCATGTAGTCTGATTTCATCACTTGACTCACTTCAGCGCGGCTAGTGGTTTCCGTTTCTGTAAGCGCGCGTTCTGGTAGGGGCGCCTCACGTCCAAAGGAGGAGCCTCCCTCTTCCAAAGAAGAGCCTCTGGTATTTGGCAGAGCCTTGCTAATTTGGGGCGCACCATCCCTTCCTGGGTTGCTGTCGAAAGGCAAACCAATTCCCCGATGAGAGGGAAAGCAGAGACAATAGAAAGAACCCCGCTGTCCTTGTTTGGAAGACACTGGTTTCCTGGAGAGGGCTTGCTTCTACTGTAGGTTTGCTTACAAGCTCAACATCTATTCGGAAGGTGAAAACGCAGACTATAGGGAGATGGTAGTTTTTGCCGTTGTTTTTAAGAGAAAAAAATTTTTAAGTAGTATTTTTTTTCCTGTTATGATATTTACAACTTTCTGTTTCATCCTTCCTTCTGCTATGACAAACATTGACACACCCGAAACCAGGACTTAAAATGACCTTTATACCTTCCTATGAACTCGTTCATTTATTTGTCTCTATCTTCAGTGTACACAGGAATATGAATAGAAAAATAGCTGAAAATGTTTTAGTGCCATGTTTAATTACATGGTGGCAAGTTTTCCTGTAAAGTTTAGCTGTGGCCTTCCTCTTGCGTTTTGACATGTACTGTTATGGTTCCTATTTATTTATATATTAGTGTTATGCATGACCTAAAATTAAGGTGTGGAAATACTGGTTAGTACAGTATCAACAGGTGTAGCTTTAGAACTTGGCTAGTCTGACATTGGTTTGAGCATCCACAGTACTATTTTATACCACACCTATGAAGTGGATTTAAAACTTTAGTTGTTTGGTTTTTTTGTATATTATGGTAATTTTGAAAGCATCACAGAATCTTTGTGTGTTTGTGACATTTTAATATCAGTACCTACAAGCAATTTTTAAGCTCTCCCTTTCTCCCCCCCGAAAAATTCAGGAGCTACTCATATATTACCATACTAACTTGATATTGTGTCGTAGGGTCCACAGCTGAAAACACTAACTACCCTAATTCTCTCCTTTATTTATTTATTTATTTATTTATTTATTTATTTATTTATTTTATTTGAGGTTCTGCAACTTTCTTTGCTGTTTGCCTCTAAACAGAGATTAGAGTGTTAGTCTTTGGGAAATTTGGAGAAATCTTAAATGTATAACCAAAAGTCTATATCTCATGCCTTGCACCACCCATCCCTGAATCAGGCAAGAGCCAAAGATTACCAGAGTTTTGATGTCCCATCAAGCAAAGAGCAACAATTTTCACTGACAGAGCAGGACAGAACAGATGGATATAGAATAGCAATCTGGAATCCAAAGAGTGAGATGCATTGACAGCAAGACTGGTAATGTCAAATAATAACTGAAAAGAGAAGCTAGGGCAGACCTATAAAAAGACAGAGCAAGCAAATAAGACCAAAATGCTTCATGAGGAGTGAAAAAAGAGCAGGAAAAAATGTAAAATCAGGAGATACTAAAAATTGACTGTCAGTTTTACAATGGAGACAGATAATTTAAACAAGGAAAGTAGTATTTCTGGGTCTGGCATACCTACCAGCATTACATGAACTATTTCATTTCATTCTGAAAGCGAAGCTTAAAATTAATGAAAGTTTTTTTACTTAACAATAAAATTAAAATGTTGCAGGCCCAGAAAAAAATATTACTATGCTGAAATGTTTAATGCCCTAAATCTAATAAGATGAAGAGTTTTTGAAAGTATCATCCTATTCAAAATTATGAAATAAAGAATTTGGTTTATAAAGGGAAAATTAGCATTTCATCAGAAAATAAAGCCCGGGATCCTTAGTGTAGACATTCTTCTCAGCAACAAGCCTATTTTAATAGTACATATTTAGCATATAATAGCAATTAAAGAGGAAATTGAGCAGATTTTACACAGGAAAGAAAAGAGACAAACATCGCTCTCTTTGTCTCTCTCCATACACACACACACACACACACACACACACACACACACAGGACTAGCCACAAAGTGCTCATTTATATGGGTTTAAAATAATACTCACTGTTTAATTATTTCCATTTACATTTAGATTAATGCCAAGACCAGTATCTGGCACTTAGTAGGTGCTCAATAAATATTTGTTAACTGAATATATCGATCCATTAAATACCATGAAAAAACCAGTATGCATAGTGTCTTGAGCAGAGTACACATCCAAAGAATGGGTTAACCAAACATTATGGAGAAGTAATCTGGGGCAAGTAAGAGTTATGGACTAGGCATCTGAGAGACAACCTTCTAGAAACAATAGCTACCGGTTATCGTGTACCTATATTTCATAAGGCTCTATGCAAAGCAACTTATACTTCTGCAAGTTGCTTTACTTCTGGGCTTAAATTTTCTCTTCCACAAAATAAAATAGTGGTACAAGATGATCTCCATGTTCCTTTACACTCTGATTCATGTAAATTCCATGATAAGAGAATATTCATGCAAACAAAAAGAAAAAACAAACCTTCTGGATGTAGAAATAATAATTAATGGAAAACAAAGATGAAGACGTATATTACTTAACTAGATTTAAATTTTAATTCATAAAAATTTATCATAATATATAACGTAAGAAGTAAAATTGTTGAGATTCACCAAGCCCAACTTTAAACATTTTTGGCTTGTGAATTGTTTAATTGTTGGTTACCCAGGGCTTAACAATTTTAGTTTGAAACATACTGCCTGATTTAGCCTTTAAAAACAATTTTGCCTCATGTGGGAACTGGAGTCTCCAGTCAGGATCTCAAAGTCAAATTAAGAGATTTGGCTCAAAGACTAAACAGACTGAAATAATCTCTACAAAAAGAATTTAAAGAGTATTGATTCAAGAGAAGAATAGTGCTGGTATTATAGTGAAGAGCAACAAATATGTGGGTATTTTTTTATAACGATTCAGCATAATTCTACATTGTGTTTAAAATATTACAAGAGTTAAAACAGTGAAAACATGAATAGATTATTTTTAGTATGGACTTTCATGGACGTTGTTTTGTATGAGAATTGCTTATGATTTTTTTTTGCCCTGAAAAATATTGTCAGAACAACCATCTGGGACTTTCAAAGAAGTACAAATTTCAATGCAGGCACTTATTGACTTAAATTGCAACAGAACTATGTCTTGCTAATCTTGTATCTGTAATGCTTGGCACATAGTAGGTGCTCGATAAATATTTGATGAAATGGATTGAATAGAGTGCAGAGTTTCAAGCTTTTAAGCATTAGCATAAGAGCAAAAAGAAATGCCATGCTGAGTCAGGCTCATATTCAATCTAGCTAGCTCTAAATTCTGACAGTGGCACCAAAGGATATTTTGTGGGAAGAGATGGTGACTGTCCTGCATTATGTTGACCTCAGAGATGTACTCCAGGTATCCTTGACTCACTCTTTCCTAAACTGATCTCTCTTTTTCTGTAAAATGATTTTTTTAATTGTAAAGCAATTCATGTTCACTATAGAAAAATCAGGAACCACAGAGAAGCTAAAAGAAACCAGTTTTGAAACACCCAGAATTCCTCATATGAAGATGAGTAAGTGCTAATGACCAGACCCTTTTCTACTCTATATCTTTCTAGATACTATTTTATTGAAAAAATTGGAGGAGTGGAATGGTAGATATGGAGGGAGACAGAGACATGTTTTTAAAATAAAAACTAGTTTATATTTGGGTCTTGTTTTATAGCCAGAGTTTTCTACTTAACATATCTTTCCATATCAATAAATTCATTTGTAATGGCATTATTTTTATTTATGGATGGTTTCTTTTTATAGGGAAAATCAGTCACTTATTATTGGACAAGAAGATTGTTTCCAAATTTTGCTATTGCAAACAGTGCTGTAATGACCACACTGTCATCTAGTGATCGTTGGCTTCATCTGTTGAAACATTTATAATGATTTTCTTCTGACTTTTTTTTTTTTTTTTTGTGAGGAGGACTAGCCCTGAGTTAACATCTGATGCCATCCTCCCCTTTTTTCTTGAGGAAGACTGGCCCTGGGCTAACATCCGTGCCCATCTTCCTCTACTTTATATGGGACGCCGCCACAGCATGGCTTAACAAATGGTGCATCGGTGCGTGCCCAGGATCCGAACCTGCGGACTCCTGGCCGCCAAAGCAAAGCTCGCACACTTAACCACTGCGCCACCGGGTCGGCCCCTCTTCTGACTTGTATTAAGCTACTTTGTATAATCATCCAAGATCCTAAACAATGATGATATTATTAGAGGCATCATATCACAAAGACAAAATATAGAAAATATGTTAATTTAGCATTTTCTATTTGTAAGAATATTAGCTCTAGTTACCAAACCTTTATGTAAAGGATGCTCATTATACTTAAAAACTTATCACTTTAGAAATATGGAAGTAGAATGCCCTCTTATTTTAGAAAAGCCAGATCTCTTACCTTCTCTCGATCGTACCACACTCAGCTTCCCACCTCTGAAAATCTGTGTATCTTTTGATGTGATATTCTTCTCTCTCTTTACCTCTCCAGATTCCCTCCAGCTGATCTGAAGGCCCTGGT